AAGAGAAGTCCGAGTCTGATGTCAGAAGATGTAACCAAAGAAAATAAACAAAATGACAATGATACATAAATAACAACAGACTACTAGCAGTTAACTGACATGCCAGCTCCAGACTTCAATTAAACTGATTGAAAGATTATGTCTTCATCATATGAATATCAGGCACAATCCTTCCCGTTAGGGGTTTAGTATCATACCATCATAACATATATGAGAAGAACATAACCCGTGTCATGCCAACAACTGGTTTTTAAATAAATGTGTTTAGTTCCGATGCAAAGACCCTATAAGTGAATCAATATTAACGCCAAAATATGATTCTGCATTAATTTTAGACTGTTTTGTATATTTTAGGGTACATGCATTTTTTATTTTATTTTTATTTTTATTTTTAATCTTTATCTGCTTGTTTGGTTCGTATTAGTTGGTGCTACGTATTTTATCTTTTATGTATTTTTGTTTTTTATTTTATATTTAAATATGAAGCACTTAGAGTAATTGTTGTTATTATATAATGAGCTCTATAAATATTGCATTTATTATTATTATCACCTTGACCTGATGATAATTTTTTTACCTGTCAGATTTGTTCTAACTGCTCCAAACTCTGCCAAAAGCTGCATTTTACCTCTATGTTCTATTTTTAGTAACAGCGGTCATGTTTGTTGAGGGATCAATTTTGCCCAATAGTTTCAGAGGAGAACATTTTTTCACGACGACGGACGACGACGACGAACGAACAGTGATGGCAAAAGTTCACATGACCTTTTAGGCCAGGTGAGCTAAACAAGTGATTATATTACAATAGATTGATTGATTGATTGATTGATTGATTGATTGATTGATTGCTTGTTGGTTACTTAACGTCCAGTGGTAGATCGATTGATGAATTTGGGTTAAGTGCTAGGTGGCAAATATAATATGCATATAATGGCGATTATGTACTAATGTGATATAAAACCTGCATTGTACTAGACCAGCATGCTGTGGTGGATATTTAACGTGTCTGTTCGCAATACAAAATAATGTCACCAATGATGACATTATTTTGCATTGTGAACAGGCACGTTAAATATAATGACATTATTTTGTATTGTGAACAGGTACGTTAAATATGACATTATTTTGTATTGTGAACAGGCACGTTAAATATAATGACATTATTTTGTATTGTGAACAGGCACGTTAAATATAATGACATTATTTTGTATTGTGAACAGGCACGTTAAATATAATGACATTATTTTGTATTGTGAACAGGCACGTTAAATATCAAATATCATATTAGAATCAACCGTGAGCTTACTTTTGCTTAATAACGCAAAAAAAATGCAAGAATGAATGATGAAGATGCAAGCAAACATAAAAGATTCATAATAAGAAGAGCAAACGAACAGCAGTGATTGTAAAACCTTGTCCAAAATTTCTTAAGTAACAGGAGTTATACAAAATTGATGTAACTAACTGGTTGTCAATTTTAAACAATTTTTTTTTAATTTTCTTAAAATCGCCCCACAGTAGAATATAGCAACGACGACTTGGAAAAATTCCAAAAATGTGATGTCCCTCAAAAGGCCGTTAGGAGGGCTGTCTGTTTGAATTATACTGGGATCGAAATCCGAGACCTGACAATCTTGATTATTCAACGAGGGGCGAAACTTTGAATTGTTGCTACAGACGATGAACAAATAGACAACTTTCGAATTCGTTGCATTTCCGTCAAAAAACTTTGGTTTTAGTGAACATCATTTATGCGTTTAGGGGGCGTCGTCACTTCCGTTTCTATATTGAGCGATTTGTTATTAAAATGAAATAGCTAAATTTCACGAATTATACAGCAAATTAAATTCTTATAATTGATATTCAGCACACCTATCAAAAGTATCATTAGGGAATTGTGATTAAGTACTTACAGAACAAATATTATTTCTAATTTATTCTGCATAATGACGATCACAAAGACGCTTGGTGAACTTTAATAGATCAGGGATACAGGCGATCCCCTTTATCTGGTAAATGACGTAACAAAGGTGCACACAATTGATGGACTTTTCCGGTGAAGGACATAACTCGCAAGTGGTCTATTGACGTTCCTTGTGACTACACACAAAACCCACCAACTCCTGATCTATGACACCCCAGGAAGATGTTGGATAACGCTCATCTTTGTGTCTGAACTGTTCATCATACACCCTAGTCCAAATAATTATGACGTCTTGCAAGGCTATTTTAATTTTTTTCTGTGACGCCTTCTAACAAAAAAAAATAAAATAGCATTGCAAGACGTCATAATTATTTGGACTACATACCCCCCTGGAATTACGTGGGCTGAGAATCTATCCTCGACATCGGATCTCGCAATGGCGCCTGTCCAGGAATGGCTTTTGTCAATGGGTCTATCTCCACATAATTAATTTGGTTTTGATTGGAATGTTTTTTGTCACTGGGTTCAACTCCACATAATTAATTTGGTTTTGATTTGAAGCAATACGCTCGTCTCTTCTTATATATATTCAAGCTACCTTGGGTAGAAGAAGAAGCAACTGCATCAATGTTCTGATTCTCACGAGAAGCCGCGTGTCTTGTTGGAAAAGAATGAACAAGAGATATCAAAAAACATGTTTCACCCCGCCGCATTTTTGCGCCTGTCCCAAGTCAGGAGCCTCTGGCCTTTGTTATTCTTGTATCATTTTTAATTTTAGTTTCCTGTGTATAATTTGGAGTTTAGTATGACGTCCATTATCACTGAACAAGTATACATATTTGTTAAGGGGCCAGCTGAAGGACGCCTCCGGGTGCCGGAGTTTCTCGCTGCATTGAAGACCCATTGGTGGCCTTCGGCTGTTGTCTGCTCTATGGTCGGGTTGTTGTCTCTTTGACACATTCCCCATTTCCATTCTCAATTTTATTCTATCAATATTTCGTCAATTTCACTTCGGAGAACTTTGCCTTTTTTCCTAAACCAGACCGTAAACTATAAGACGGTTGTCTATTTCTCTTTTGAGGTTTCATCTGTGTTGAGGATGGAACTGAATTATTGAAAAATGTTGAGCAATCTCCCGACCAAACGTTAGAAATTCTTAAAGTGACGCAGGCAAGTGACTCCACAAAGTGGAAACGTCACAGACACGGTCAAAGTTCAGAAGACGGAGAGAAAAAAGGAGGGACTCGAGAATAAATACGGAATAGAAACTTTTATTAAACCTGTATTATCTGTTATCAGTAAACCGATAAACATTATTATATGATAAACAGATTAAGATAATAAACTTTAAGGTTAAGTTTGTACCAATTTAAACAATCATCCTATATTATGACAATTTTCCTTTTTTCAAGATTGCAAATAAAGAAAAAAATTGTATGTATTTTTTTCTACATGCACATTTTTAAATTTTGACAAAATAAAGAATAATAAAAATAATGAGCAGTTGATACCATTTTAAATATTTGTAACTGTACTTGAACTTGAAATTATGAATATTGATGTTGTATGATTGGCAATGAGACAACTCTCCACAAGACACCAAATGACGTATAAGTAAGCAACTTTAGGTCACAGTACGGCCTTCAACAATGAGAAAAACAAACCCATACCGCACAGCATTTAAGTATAGTAGTGCCTGCTTTATACATACTACATAATAATAACTGGATGTAAAAACAAAATATTTCTATCGGTTAATATCAATATTCTATCTACATGTATCAACGAATCAATAATTAATTTGAGCTTTTAAAACAAATCACATATATTAATCGTGACTTAAAGAAGGATCCTTACTGTTCCAAGACTGGAACACTTATCAAACTCTTGTTGAGCTCTGTCACCCTTGCATGTCATTCCTTCTTTGTGACTGTACATTTATTGTCATCTTTGAATGTCAAACATACTTTCCAAATATTGTCCAGTGTATATAATTAGTCAATTGTAATAATATTAGAAGTCATTCCATAATTCAGTTGCTAAATGTTGAGTGGCAAATAGAACATTAAAATTCTGGAAAGAATAAAAAATACATAATGTCGAAAAAGTTGTTAAATTATTAATAACAGCGATATATTTCTTTTGAGTTAAACTAGTATCTTGGCACTGGTATGACATAAGTAATGAAAGAGGGATTTATTTTCCTCACTTTATTCTTTTTTTGTTTTGTTTTGTTTTGTTTTGTTGTTGTTGTTGTTAGAAAACCTAAAATACCGAACTGCAAGGTAAATTCAAAAAGGGTAATTATTATGTCTTAAAAAAATTACAACATCAAACGTAAGACTTTACCAACCAAAGAAACGAAAGGAAAACAACTGTCTTGGTATAGGCATTTTCCGAAGAAAGTGGTGCATGGGTTAAAACCTGTTTTTATAGCTAGCTAAACGGAAGTTTTGTTTTCCATGCCGTGAAATCAAAATACTAGTTTTTTTTTTTATATATATTTACTTTTATCGAGGAAATACCTGTTTCATTTAGTTTCTTTGAGGGTTTAATTGTGCTTATGAGTGGTATAGAGATGACATGGGAAGAGCTTCGGTAGTTTCGATTAAACAGAAAAAAGATAGAATTAAAACAATATATTCCTGTTGCTGCGCCTATAATTTCAAATATGCTGTAAAAATGTTATTTCGTGAATTGATTTGTAAAATATACAAAAGGTAGAAAATAGATACAGTAACTTCTAAAACAACGTGCACGACTGCTTTTTTTTCGGTTGTCTTTAATATATAAATGTAAAGTCCTTTATTGTGAAATGTTATTTTGTCGTTTTTATTACTGTTCAGGGTTCTACAATTTTAGGAAAGTTTAAACGCATTTATTTTACTTCGAGCCTCAACTAGAGTTCTGTCTGGTTGGTCTATGCCACTGCATTTTGACACATAAATGTTGACGAATAACAAAAACAACTGTGTGTTCGACCCAACATAATCTCTTAAATTTAAAAATCGTCTGCAACTACAAACGGAAACAAGTACATATTCTGACCTTCATCCGTTACACATGATTGTATATTATAAACTCACACTTCACTTGATATGTAACATGTGCCGTTTCAAACTATATTTAGTTATCTTATCATACAAGGTCGCTTACCTACTATAAATATGATCAGATCAAAAATGACACTTATACGAAAATATTCAATAATTACTTTACTTCTCACCTGTGTGGAATGCTGCATTCGTCCAGGTAAGTTCAACACAAACCTGAGTATTTGAGCAATCATCTTTTAAATGACAGAGCATGTAACAGCTCCCTTAAACCTTACTTCCGCTATTTAAAATACTCGAAGATATCGATGTGGCCGTGTTTACACCTTAAAATCTATTCTTAGTACAGACTAACTGCATCTAAGAAAGTTTTAAAGCATGGCTGAATCTAGATATATAAAAGTTATTTAAATTTCATATTTCAGAAAATTAAAAACTTACCTGGATATTGATGTGTATTTTTTTTTTTGTCAAGTCAGTCTGCAGAGATGACAAAATAAACAAACACTTGATATGGTCCACTCAGTTACACCAAGGATAAATATAGTCAGCATCGCACAAGTTGGCACTCCGAGGCTGGTGGGGAGCAAGAAGGTGAACTGTGGTTTATGTTTATCAATAGTACCGCTTAAGTCGACGCTAGGGGCCGTCTTGACCTTGTTGTAGGGTATGAATGATTCGTTCATTGTTGAAGACCCTACATCAACTGTCAAGATGAAGAACAGGAATAAAAGCCCTGTTCATTGATAATTTTCTATGTTTTCTATGTATTGTGTGCAATTTTGTCCCATGTACATTTACTCCATATCCTTTCATTTTATATTATATAAATCCTTAGGATATAGTAAAGTGCTCTCGACCAATCAAATTGTAGGATTCGGTTTTTCTGTAATAGTTATCCCATGAGGACGCGGCGTGTCAGTGTAAGATCACCCCGACGGCCGGAGATAATTTAAATTAGATTATATATTGCACTTCAGTAGACTCTTTCAAATCTTCAATTTCGAAGCATCAATATTAACTCAACTATTACATCATACTTTATTATACAAAGCATTTTTTATAGTTTTTTTGTATTTTTTAAAGATTGTATATATATATCAATCTATGTCTTGTTGTAAGTTTCCTCCTGTGACATAATCTTCAATTTGTTGAAGGCGGTCACTATATGGTAGAATAGAATAGAATAGAATATAAAAAACCATTTACGCTTCATAAAGTCTAGTTTTAGAACGCCACACAATCATTATAATAAACTTTATATATTACTATATAGTATATACCCTTTATGAGCCCCGGACACAATGTTTAAATATGCTAAATTAACTGAGAGTTTTCATCCAGTCGTCCTGATGTAGGGTATGAATCGTGGGTCAATATGTTAAAGGTCTTGAGTTCGATTCCCAGCATAGACACTGGATTTTTTCTACATAAATTTTGATAGTTGGTCTTTTCCGTGTTAATATTTCTAAGTTTTATTGTGGATTTGACATTCCCACCAAAATGTTACAGAACAAAGGAAAGCATGCAGAACAAAGAAACGCAAGCAAGGGTGATCTGGTAGGGGTGATCCGGCTCAGATAACCCCTGGTAGAACGAAGGATCTGGGATGTAATAATTGTGAAGAATGAATGTTAATTGTTTAAACCTATTTACAGTTCAAAACAAAAGATTTTATAAAAATGAGTTACAACTGCCCCGAAGCACATTAATCAGATTGAAAGGATTTGTCATTGAAACTGACAAAAAGTTAAATTTTGATGTAAATAGCTGGACCAACAAATTGGCCGTGAAATAAAATTTAGCTGTAACTCAAATTTTGAATTAATTGATTTGAACCGTCAAAAAAAAAAAAGATAATTCCTCACTTGAATATTACATGATTTACATTCATACTCACAATCAGGAAACATATTCAATTCCTACCAAATCATTGTATACTGTTTTGTCATCAAATATTTAAAACACAATTTATTATTTTTTTTCTAAATTATACGAAAGTCCTTACATCACTAACATCACTAAAGCTAATGCATAAATGAAATGTCTTAAGAGGAAGTCATGCATTACTTATAAACATGAATCTAATTCTTGAATACAATCGATCAAGAGATCATTTGAGCCTTGAGCACTTTATGATATTCTAAGTTTGTAAGAGAATGATAAGTACGAGCGTTACATATACTTGGTTAAATCACTTATTGTTTGCAGATATTTATTGTCCCCCCTATTGTCCATCTCAATCAATACAGTTCACTACATTTAGTTAACGAGGGGAGCTTCTCAAACATCTTTCCAAACTTAGTTTATGTTGCCACCGTCTGCAGGAACGAAAATAAAATGCATAGCAAAGATAAGCAAAATAAAGTTGAATGTTTGATATTTTGAAACTAAAAATGCATTTAGATTTCATTGGTCTAGGTACAGCCATGCCTTTGACTTTTTCCAGGTGCCCAGTTTTTTCTTTGTGGTGTTTTTGACGAATGACTATGATGAACATAAATACGCACACAACTAAGCTTACTTAACTTCCGAAGTTCGAAATACTCGAACATATCGATGTTTTGCCACTGAAATTGCAAGGTGACCAACATATTTCACTAAATTGTGATACATTTGTAAGTGTTAATCACGAAAATAGAGAAGAAATATGAATATTTCAGTAAAGGAGAAGGTATGATAAGAGACATTATTTGGCCCCTGAAATTGCAAAAATTGTTAACTTTTCCAAGCCTTCCAACATTAAGTTTATTTTATTGATTAATAAACCAGTTGCTTTAATGCGAAAACTTTAGTGCAGAAAGGTTACTTGTTATGTAACTATGATATCCATAAACAAGTCGAAATTTACGTTTTCGACTTAAAATGGCCATTTGACGCATAGATTTTAGTCAAAATATATACGAGCAAGAGCTTTAACCCTAAAGATAGTTTACACAAATCAACGTCTTTGTAAAATAATGTGTAGCAATATATCTTTTTCGAATAAAGCTCTTGAACAGATCTTAAACTTAGGCTTTATGGCAGTTGTTGCTGTTTTGTACTAAATTTTAGAAGTTTGAATCCCTGATGCCAATTTGTAGGAAAAAAATCTAAAATATAAGAACTATTGTCCGACAGAATCGTGTATAATTAACATCTGAAGGATGTTTCTTCTTCTTCTTCATTTTCTTCTTCTTCTTCCGGTAAGGAATTGACCTCATACTTGAATTTTCAATAACTCCGCTCGGTAAAACAGGAAGCTTCTTCATTGAACAAAAGCAAATGTTAACAAAAAAATTCAATCTATTTACACTGTACAAATGTAGATCTATAATACTTTTTGATTTACGAATTCAAGTGGCCAAACAAGTGGCCTATCATTTTTTTTCCTTTCTTAATTAATTTTACTCTCATTTCCCGTAACGAAGTCAACAACAACAAAAAAGAATACACATGTATTCGCATAGAACTTGTAGATTCATTTTAATTCAAACCTGAATTAGTAAGGCTACATTATAAAAAAATATTTATGATACGAAAAAATCCCTATTTTTTCATTATTTTTTTAGTGTTTGTAGGGAAAAGGAAGAAGACTTATTTAAATACATTAACGAATTTGAGTAAAACCGATATCATATTTAAATTTAATAGCTGAATTCATGATTCTCATTTTGGTTTTTATTCAACACTCCGTAATCACTCAATTCTTTATTTCATGTAAGCTTGACGAAAGCAGAACAGTTGAAAATAATGAAAAATCAATATTTGAAGGGACTTTTTTAATGTGCAGTATCGGACACCATTTCCTCTTTATTTCTGTAATTAATCATTGGCCAGCTATTGAATCTAAGGTAAACATAATTGTTTGCTTTCTATAACATATGTCTTGTAAATTCGAAGTGTGTAGAAAGGGGGGTCAATACCATGCACACAGACTATGCTTCATGTTTTTTAAAATTTTACTTTAAGTCGTAGTTCTTGACTTCAGTAAAAGTTAGTACTTGTCGAGGTAATGGTATGTATGCATTATGATTTTATTTTTTTACCATGATCTTTGAATAATTTTATGTAATCGATAAAAATTCTCGTTATAACTTAAAAACTTTCAGTTTATTCAAGACCGAATTCCTTTTTTTTTTTTTTTTTGTGATCTTATTTAGATGATAGTACTTGTGCGCATAATATAGTTTCGTTATCAATTTTTAAGCACCACCAGCGGAAAATTTCACCTTCGCGTCTTATTATGGAGATCACATGGTTCTTCAACGAGGGCCAAAGCAAGCGATTATATGGGGATATGGTCCTACACCCGGAAGTAACGTCACTGTGATGCTCAGCGGAGAAACACCAATTAGCGTTAAGGTAGATAAAGGAAACACGTGGAAAGTCAAACTAGCGGCAGTTACAGACTCAAAACCACATACAATAACAGCGATGTCTTCAGCAGGAACGATCATGTTAAGTGATGTCTTATTTGGTGATGTATGGATCTGTTCTGGTCAAAGTAACATGGAGTTTATTATGAACCATGTACGTATAGTTGTAAAATATATATAGGTTTAAACTAGGTTATACGATTTTTACATTTTGACTGAGTATGGATTTCAATAGCGGGTAGTACATACTTTGTTGACCCACTCTGTCTCGCTCGTTGTGGAGTTCATGCGATTCCCTCATTTTTTTTATTGTTACCTGGATTTGTATCTTCTCAATCGATTGATGATATTTGAACATCGGTAAAGTAATGTTGCCTACCAGTGATCGAAGTTAAAATGAGGAGGGTTGAGTGCTAAAAATAGTTAATACCCAGTATATTCACGTGTCTATTTCAAGTCTGGAACCGTGCAATATTTATGTGTCTGTGTCAAGTCTGGAACTGTGCTATATTTACGTGTCTATTTCAAGTCTTGAACTGTACTATATTTACGTGTCTATTTTAAGCCCGGAACTGTATTATATTTACGTGTCTATTTCAAGTCTGGAACTGTGCTATATTCACGTGTCTGTTTCAAGTCTGGAACTGTACTATATTTACGTGTCTATTTCAAGTCTGGAACTGTTCTATATTTACGTGTCTGTTTCAAGTCTGGAACTGTGCTATATTTACGTGTCTGTTTCAAGTCTGGAACTGTGCTATATTTACGTGTCTATTTCAAGTCTGGAACTGTGCTATATTTACGTGGAACCGTACCAGTGTGTCTTGAGTAATATTTAAATGTGTTTTCCATTACGAAATTGTTTGAACAGTCTTTGTTACATTCACTACATTTCTAGGTTAGAGTTGCTTAAGTGCTTGGAATAATGTACTTTCGATAAACATCTGTCTATAGCTGAAGATAGTATATTTTCCCTATCATCTTTTTTTATCTTTTTTTTTTATTTTGTGTGTGTGGTTAAGTTGCAGTCTTATATTGACGTTGTTCCAACACCTTTGATTCATTTTATATAATATAACAGAAAGCGTCGAAAGGAACAAATCGTCATCCAATGCATGGTGTGTCAAGCAAATAGGAAATAAATGAAAAAGAATTAATACTAGTGATAAAACAGCTGTGACAACTGTTTATATTATAACATCTTTACACTAAATCCATTTGATGTGCACTGATTGATTTTTTGCAATTGACACACGATTACTTTAATAGTTATGATTGTCTTGAACTAGCTTGCTGTAACTGCGAGTACTCTCAATTTGGTTCGTTGTGTTTAAAGTGTTTTTGTTATAGTTGTTTTTGTGCTTTGCATCGATCTAAGGAGTCTAGGTTTTTTTCAATCATACCACGTCTCCTTCACATTTGAAGGGTTGACTGATATACCTCTTTTTCCAAAGACTAGTAAATGTTGAAATATTTAAGCTCTAAAAGCTGAGTCTGTGATTTGATGTCTTATAAAAAAGAAGATGTGGTATGATTGCCAATGAGACAACTCTGCACAAGAGACCAAAATGACACAGAAATTAACAACTATAGGTCACCGTATGGCCTTCAACAATGAGCAAAGCCCATACCGCACAGTCTGCTATAAAAGGCCTCGAAATGACAATGTGAAACAATTCAAACGAGCAAAAACGGCCTAATTTATGTACAAAAAATGAACGAAAAACAAATATGTTACACATAAACAAACGACAACCACTGAATTACAGGCTCCTGACTTGGGATAGGCATATACATATAGAATGTGGCGGGTTAAACATGTTAGCGGGATCCCCCCTCCCCCTAACCTGGGACAGTGGTGTAACAGTACAACATAAGAACGAACTATAAAAATCAGTTGAAAGAGGCTTAACTCATCTTGTACTCTTATGTATGTAAATATTGTGGTAGAATACTTGTATATTGAATCATTAGTTAAACGAATGTGTATCAATTGAATTATTTTAAAACAATCATTTAGGTAGACAATGCCACTGAAGAGATCGCCGATGCTGTTAATTATCCGGATATAAGAATTTTTACAGTTGCCATGGAATCTTCTGCGGTACCATTATCTGATCTAAAAAGTGTGGAGGAAATTTGGTCTCTCCCAAACAAAGGTAGTTTTATTATTTGTAATGATATATGTGCAATCTAGTAATGACTGAGGCAAACGAGCAACTAATAATATAACGCTAACATTTCGAAATAATAATGTAGTTCTGACATTTAAAACTTTATTTCAAAGATTGATTGATCCGTTGATTGGTGTTTAACGCCTCTTTCAGCACTACTGGCTATTTCGTGGCGGTCAGTTATTATAGGTTGAGGAGGCCGGAGTGCCTGGAGAGAACCACAGATCTGCGGCAGGAAAACTGATAATTCTAGTCAATTAAGATTGGAGCCCAGCACACCTACCACGTGTGGAATTCGAACTCACAACCGCAGGCTATCAATACAGTTGTTTGACTACTTAGACAACTCGGCCACTGAGACCCATTTATGTTAAATACATAAACATCATATTCCTTCCTTTGAAAAAGCACTTTTCTAGTTTGTCAAGATATCAATAGATATAAGAAAATGTGGTATGAGTGCCAATGAGACAACTCTCCATCCAAATCTCAACAAATATCAACAATATTTATGCCCATATTTGAATAAATGTCCATTCATATATACAACTAAATCTTTTCTACCTTAATAATTTCTGAAATTTAAAAAGTCAGAATACACTCACTGCAAAATGTTGATAAACAGATAGGAAATATAATACCACCAGGCCCCAAGATCTTAAAATCATGTTTGCGGAACATAAGGCAAATTATGTTATTTTAAGTTAATCAAAGATAAAACCAGGATATATTCTATCAATCATAAAGGTTACTATTTTGACAAACTGTTTTTGAAAGAATATGCCTATTCAAATATAACTTATATCTTTTAATATTTTTTAAGAAACGCTTGGAGGCGATGGCTTCTTTTCAGCCGTATGCTGGTTATACGGGAAACGACTTTACAACAAGTTGAAATATCCAATAGGGCTAGTAGCGTCAACATGGGGAGGGACACCTATAGAAACCTGGTCCGATACAGCAGCCCTCAAGAAATGTAATATTCCAACAATTAATAATAAAATGAATGTATCATGGTAAGTTAAGTAGGTTTATAAAAACTTTCAAGACTAAAAGAGCGGCGAAAGATGCCAAAGGGATAATCTAACTCACAAGTCGGAATTTTAATGGCAATGCTTTGGAAAAAAACGAAATCGACAAAAAAAAACAAAACAAACAACAGTATACAAAACACAACATATAAAATAAATGATATACAAAATCCAGCAAAAACCTGGGTGATCTTAGGTAAAGCAATAGTTTCAAAGATTAGAATTCAATCCTACTCAACATGGTTTTCCTTTGCTACACTTCAGATTCTTTCACAATCTTTTTAATCTATATATTACTAGCGATAGCACGCGTATTTTAATACAACCGAAAACATGACTTTAGGAAATCTCTGTCGATTTTTGGGAACTCCAATTGTAATTGTATTACCAGTCTATTTCTGCATTGACTCTGGCATATATTTGAAGTTGGATATATCGGTACGAGACAGTAGAGTTGAGGGTCAATACACGTTATACAGTTTACATGGTTAATCGACTTGTAGGAAATATATATCACTCCCAATACAGAAAAAGCATGTTATTAGTACTTATACATAAAATGATTCTTAATCTGCCAGTAAACGATAAGAAACTTACGGTTATGCCAAATTTTATTCTAGATTTTTTCTTGACAAAAATTAGGCAGTGGTGCTATTTGAAAATGTAATACGGAATGACTGTAAATTTTTCCTTTTCGTTAAATAAAACAAAAGAAGGAACATAATTTAAATCTCAAAAGTAACTTTGAAAAAAAATATTATAAAAATGTATATGGACTTCATTAGCAAATGTATCTGCTTACTTAAAAACTTCGCCAAAAGAGTTATATGGAAAGACGACTGAAATCAACACTACATAAGAATTTGTTGAGCTATAGGATTATCTTTGTCTCAACTCACAAGTGGCATGCTTTCGCAGTCTTAAAATACCAGAATAGTCGTTTAATCTGTAATTGTACCGATTTTGTCCTAAAACACAACGTTATATTAATGTCATGCCATGCGTTCGAAGCGCTTTTCATGATTTACTTTCATCAAGAACGCTCAAAGCTTTTCTCGATTGTGACATGTTGACTGAGTGGATTTGCATGGCGATTGATGAATGCACAGCAGAAGACGCTTACCATGTAAACGCACCCAGTGTCGCCTCTTTTGGTGTTCATGCTGTTCCGTTATTTTAGTTTTTTATCTTATTTATGTGATTTCTGTCGGTCATTGTTAACTGGGTATTCGTATATAACGTCCCTGTTTTAAGATAAGTTACATGCAAGTTACATGTACATTATATATTCAGTAAATCGCTTTGTTCATCTAAATATTCATTATGTATTAACAATGAATGATGTTCCCTATTGAAACATAAATCCGGTGAGATTTGAATACATTTCCTAGGTATATTCAAACAATTCCTATCAACCCATGTTTATCATCGATTTTACAACCTAAAAATTCCATATCAGAAATTTTTAGTAATCATGGCACACTCCTGATACATTTTTCAAATATCTCATCTGTTCACAATTTTCAATTTAGACCATACCGAGAAGAGAAAACAAGACGTCTTGTAAGAGATTTGAAAATAGATCATGAATACAACAAACTATTTCGATTGTAATAGAAAATATTTACAAATAGACTTGAATATTCTTGTTACATCTACAGGGTTTTAACATATAAATTTATGATGCTGTGCAAAAAGCGTATTGCGACAACGTCAGTTTATGTCTGTCAGTGTTTAATAATGACATTGATGAATGAAGAAATTGGTAAAAGCAGAAGACAGCTATAGTACACCATTTAATACTAAATTGTATAAAGCAACATATTCATAGGCCGCCAAAAAAGTATCACTCACTGAAGCCATTGAAATTTTAAACACTCACAAAAGCTATAAAACCAGGTTTAAACCTCCCCCCCCCCTCCCCCCTTTTTCTGTAAATGCCTGTATACGGTCAGGAAAATTACATTTGTTTTTCACTTGTTCTTTTGATTGATAGCGTTTGAATTTATCAGTTTGTATGGACTAATAAAATGAAATTGAGAATGGAAATGAGGAATGTGTCAAAGAGACAACAACCCGACCAAACAGCAGAAAACAGCCGACGGCCACCAATGGGTCTTCAACACAACGAGAAAATCCCGCACCCGGATGCGGACTTCAGCTGGCCCCTAAACAAAATGTGTACTAGTTCAATGAAAATGGACGTCACACTAAACTCCAAAACATATAAATGAACTAAAATTAAAAAACATACAAGACTAACAAAGGCCAGAGGCTCCTGATTCGGGACAGACGCAAAAATGCGGCGGGGTTAAAATATTTTGTGAGATCTCAACCTCCCCCTATACCTCTAGTCAATGTAGAATAAACAAACGCACAGTAATACGCACAGTAAAACTCAGTTTAAAAGAAGTTACTAACCATTTTTTAATTTGCCTTGGAGTTCAGTACTTTTGTTTTACCTTGTTCTCACACTAACGTGAGTTTTATATTACCCTTGTTACAAAATCATGTACTCGTCATGGGAGAAAGATAGTACATGATTAATCGAAACATCATAGTGAAAAAGGCTATTATTCAAGGTTCAAATGTCACAATATTCATACCATCCTGAGAGTGTCTGCCGCTCTAATGTTGGAATTGAAAACTTTAATCAAAACACTTACATGAAAAGATAAGTTTATCAAATTTATTTTTATTTCATGGTTTTTTAAGCTTATGGACGCCACATGTATATACCAATTTATGAACGACAAATCGTATTATCCACCAAACATATATTCTTGTGACAATCACCGCCTCGGTGGTCTCGTGGTAGTGTGTTCGCCTCGAGTGCGGGAGTTCGTGGGTTCGAACCCAGGCCGGGTCAAACAAAAGACTTTAAAAGAGGGACAAAAGATACCAGAGGGACAGTCAAACTCATAGATCGAAAACAAACTGACAACGCCATGGCCAAAAATAAAAAGACAAACAGACAAATAATAGTACAGATGACACAACATAGAAAACCAAAGACTAAGCAACACGAACCCCACCAAAAACTGGGGGTGATCTCAGGTGCTCCGGAAGGGTAAGCAGATCCTGCTCCACATGTGGCACCCGTCGTGTTGCTTATGTTATTACAAATCCGGGTAATAGTCTAATTCGGTAAGTCACATTCGTGAAAAGGGTATTGGTATTTGCTGCTTCTCCGGTAAGTACGTGGCATTAAGAAGTAAGAGCAAAGACTGGTCGGCCCGGAGTCAGAATAATGTGTACGGGTAAGGTGATATGTCTTCCTGCAGACTGTTATCTTGTGAACTAGCACGTTAAAAAAACGGCTCAGCGTGTCGGTCTAGTACAAAGGAGGGTGAATTTTCATATTACATTAACATGTTCTCGTCCTGAATATGCATATTAATTTGCCGCATGACGTTAAGCAGCCATCCATCATCATCATTATCTTGTGACAATCTTATATGTGTTGCAGGGTGCCTACTGCGCCGTCACTTTTATGGAACGCTATGATGTTCCCACTAACAAATATGACCATATACGGTGCAATATGGTACCAAGGTATGATATATCTTATGTCGGTTATTTATTAAAATGATAGCTTATAATTCAATGCATGTTGGTCTCTTGGAGGTGAATTACAATGTAATTGTCTAACTAGCCATAAAATGAAAGATGTTGCGTGACTATAATTTGAATTATCTACTTTCGCTAAAGAAAAGTAAAAGATACAGGTTGAAAATGAATATGTATCAGATTCAATAATGGCTTTATGTCCTATCAGTTCGTTTTACGTTGGAAATGCTGCTGCTTTTTGTGATTTGAATTAAAAAAAATGGTTTCACACCTTAAATGGTAGATCAGAGACATATATACACAGAGATTGGCAACTGTAACAGTGGTCAGCGAAATCCAATAAAAAACACGCATCACACGAGACTTTAACGAGATCGCCATTTTGCATCTGATCATGACAAGTTCACCACCGCTTCGATTTTTATTTTACATCAAGCTTTTCAAAACAGCATAATGTAAGTATATATTTCAATTTCGTAAATTATTTACCTTGTTTTATTCAGTTTGTAGTAATTGTTAGTTAAAATATTGTGACGATTAACGTTTTATTGTGGTCAATAATAAGGGGAAAGCTTGGCCGACATGGACGTAATGAAAATTTTTTACACGGACGTATTTTTTATTAAAACCTTTTCATTCGAAAAGGAAAAAAACCATTTATGAGATTGAATCACTTTTCCCAAGACATACTGGTTTTGTGTAGATATGTTGAATTTTTCATTAAATCACTCACTTTGAAGCAATTTACAATTAAAATTCAGTATTCTCGCTGTCGGCCACGTTCAATTTTTAAAATATAAAGACAGGCCCCTGTCCATGTCTACAGTCAATAAACTTTTCCATCTTTAGAGAATAATTATTCCCAACACATGAATTACTTTCTTATGACATACTGGATTTGTGTATAACAGTTGTTTTTTTACATATTTTCACCCACTTTGATGCAATTTACAATTAAAAATGACCATTCAAGCTGTCGACAATTTTCATTCTCTTCAATATAAAGACAGGCCCCTGTCCATGTCTACAGTCAATAAACTTTTCCATCTTTAGAGAATAATTATTCCCAGCGCATGAATTACTTTCTTATGACATACTGGATTTGTGTATAACAGTTGTTTTTTCCATATTTTCACCAGCTTTAATGAAATTTACAATTAAAAATGACCATTCAAGCTGTCGGCCATTTTCATTCTCTTCAATATAAAGACAGGCCCCTGTCCATGTCTACAGTCAATAAACTTTTCCATCTTTAGAGAATAATTATTCCCAGCACATGAATTACTTCCTTATGACATACTGGATTTGTGTATAACAGTTGTTTTTTCCATATTTTCACCAGCTTTGATGCAATTTACAATTAAAAATGACCATTCTAGCTGTCTGCCATTTTCATTCTCTTCAATATAAAGACAGGCACCTGTCCATGGCTACAGTTTATAAAATTGTCCATCTTTAAAGAACAAAAGTACCCATCACCATTGATCACAGGAATTACTTTCCCAAGACATACCGGTTTTGTGTATATAAATTGTTTTTTTCATGACATTTACAAGTTTATATACATGTATATATTTACATTCAGTATCTGACAGCATTTTTTTTTTAACAGGATCCTGCATGTTATAAAAGAACAAAGATGTTGATCAAATTTACCTAACAGTGCAGCATACAAGAGATGTAATATCATACATGTGCTGAATGTAGGACTCCCTAGCCTTTCTGATTGAAAAAAAGATTCCCTGGCAGACAGGAACAACTATTAGTGATGACTTTTTTCAAATGTTACTGCACAGTCATGTAGTGGACCGATTACATGTACTACTATCAATGTGATACTAAAAAATGGTTTTGTAAGAGAGAAAATGACATGTGCTTATCCTGACTGTGAAAACACCACATTATTGTAGTTCAAATATCATAGTTCATATGCCAAACTTGATGTACATGTGTATGCGATTTTTGTGCAAGTGATGGTGACATCATTGAACTAAGAATAAAAAGAAGACTCCGCATTCAATCTATTGAATTTGAAACAGAAGTGGCAGTTGTGCAGAGACTATATACTGATAAAAATGCAAATAAATATCTTGTGTTCAACTTCATTTGTCTTCTTTACGTTTACAAAGTATACATGTACATAATTTTAACATACATGTATAACAATATGATGATGTAGTATGATTGCCAATGAGACAATGATTTACATGTATGACTATCATTGGAAGGCCACTCTATAATATCTTTGTATATCATGAGAATGGAAATGCTACCTTTGTAGCATAAAGGTAGCATAATGTAAAAAAAGGAAAAAAAATATATAACTTGACAGTACTAAAGGCAAAATATTTCGTTTCACAAATTCCTTCCTCTCCTCGGAAAATAACATATTTAATTGTTTACATGAAATGGCAAAATGTGTAGAATAAGAAGCAAGAAATGTTCACTCTACTTGTACACTACTAGTCGCTCATATTAGTCATCATCTATGTTTGTTTCGGTCCTTTAGCAATGGTGCTTGTTTATATTTATCTGTTGTGTTGTGTTGTTTCAGTTTTACATGTCCTCATTCTGTGATCACTGTTTCACCTCGCCTATTTTGAAAAATGTTAATGCAAATATTTTCTGCAATAAATTGAAAAGGCACAGCTGCTATGACTATTCAGAAATGTGAGGTATATGTCAATGAGACAACAACCCAACGACAAAAATATTCTTTGCACATCTATGAATGTTTAAGAATTCTTGTGGAGGTCAAAAGCACATAATGTGTACTTATATATTGGTGACCTGGTACATGTATGTACCTACATGTATTGATGCATTCCGTCCTAAACATAAATTGTGTGAAGAAACCAAGCAGTTTATATGCTTATAAAAAAACTGATATTAAAATGAATTCCTGTATAACAAATTCCGGGAATGAGACACTATTTTATTTAAACCAGATGAGATATTAGTGGTAAAGGTTTAAACAGAAGCAGGAGATGTCAAGGGGCAATACAAAAAGTACAAGGTCATGTTACACATAAAAAAATGACAAATGAAAAGAAAATAACAGCCCACATAGCACTGCACCGAAACATAAACCCACAAAAGATCAGATAAAACTTGTCTTCAATTTTAAATCTTTCTAATTTCAAACTCGAGTTTCACTACCCGATAGGAAAGAGTAAAGATAAGGATGTTGCAGTACTTCTGTGGTCTATGAAACAGAACATTAAAATTCTACAGTTCAGCAGAGTATTTTACTGTACTTGTGATACACGTTGTTTTTAATCAGGGTCTGTGATATTAAGTCTATAAAAAACTACAAATAATGACAGATTCATATTCAATATTTCATGACAGCAAAAATAGTGATTTCGACAACACTGTACATAATGTACCTTCATTTAGGAAATTCATGCAAAGGTTCCACAAATAATGTAATTGTAGGTCAATCAAAAATTAATCATTTAAATCCGTTTTCCATGAGACAAAATTCTACTGGCTACATATTTTTTTTATATAAAAAAGTTGCTTTCTGATTTCTTTTTTTGACATGTTAAATGACTATTTTTGTTCCTGATTGAATACTATAGTAGAATGTAGGACAGTAAGTCACAGGACAAAAAGTCACGGACGAAAAGTCACAATTCAGTTTTGAGATTATTTTTCTCTGAACAAGAAAACACTAATTTTAAAAATAATTTTTTGATTTTTTATTGAACTATAATATATGAAGCAACTTTGTAGTTAAAATTTATTCAATAAATATCAATGATGATCAAATAATTGTTATGATAACAAAATGTCAAAGTGGTTTGGCACTTAAATGGCTTCATGGTGCCAAGAAATATATTATTTGCATGATTAAAATTTAATAATTTTTCATTTATCAAGGCTTATGAACAATTTCCTGAACTTAAAAATGAATAAATGTAAAAAAAGATATTATTTGAAGATCTTTCTCTTATATATTCAAACAATTGTCAATAAATTATTTGTGACTTTTTGTCCTATCCAATTTGTGACTTTCTGTCCGTTTACCCTATTCATAGTATAGCCCAGTGTTTCTGTTAAAATAAAGTTCTGGTCATGGTTAAAATAATGTCAGAATTTGTTTAGTTGTAAAAACAATTACCAAGTAATAATCCACTTAGAACTTCACCTCCGGCAAAATTCAGGTGATCGGAGGGCAATAAATTGCGTAATCGCACACCTGTGAATCCACAGTCACAACTTTAAGGAAATAATGACCGGAAAATCAGACACACATAATTTCACTGTGTAATTTAGAAGCAAACTTTAGCAAAGAAATGTTTCTTGTTATATCATGATCATTACCAGATTTTACTTTTTAAATTAAAAGAAATGCCGAAAAAAAGAAAAAAAATATTTTCTCAATCAAATACATTAAAAAAATAATAAAACTATTTCAAGTAGTTTTTTAGAAAAAGAATTTATTTGATCTGAAATAAGTTTTCCTATTACTTTTCTTGATTAGCTATCGAGGTTATTCATCCCTGACTTGTCTACATGTTGTAGAATAATTATCGACGAGAATCTCATTCCGGGCCGCGTTTTTTAACGGGATTTCACGGAGTTGCCAATCTCTGTGTATATATGTCTCTGGGTAGATGTATAATTTGTTTTATGTTTGCTGTCAAATAGAAACAGTTGCTGTCATATAAATGACAAGCAGCAGTACTTAGTGAAAACCAGAAACATCTAATGTTTTCCTAAATCCAAGAAATGTTTAGACATAAGGTAATTTCAACTTGCACTTTTTGCAATCAAAACCCTTATGGGACTGTCTTGATTCTTTTCATTTTCCAAACTTTATCACTTCTTTTAAGATAAACAAAATGTAGTGCATTGGGCACTTCATTCTATACAACCTATCCGTGAATATTTCAAGAAATTTATCGATGAAATATACTAGTATACATCGTTATCAGAGTTACAAAATGATGTGTTTGTGTCAAGGAAATTACATAACTTGGTAAAGGTGTATGAATCTAGTATCTGTTCTAAAAATATTATTTCAAAGTGATATATAAAATTGAGTATTCTTCCTTTGTTCATATTAGAGTTGAACCTTCCAATTTTTAATACAATACAATGCTCAATTTTTAGTTCCCACTGCAGAATGAATGCAATCTTTACTCTTCAGTGCATTAATATTACTTGTTTATTTTTAACATGTTTAAGTTGATGTTTATATATATTTGATTCCCATAGCTATCTGTGGACCTACTTTTATTCATTTGGAGCTAAATCTGTGAGCGTTTTGATTTATACAAAAAATATCAAGATAACATTTTTCTACAGAAAGCTTCAATTAATTAAGAAATATAAATTTAAATATAAAATTTACAATAGCCTTTGTGATGACCTCACAGAGCCCTCATACAGGACCTTAAATACCAAAAATGTACAAGGTAATATTTACCTATGTTCTTCTGTACTTTACGAATTGGAAATGTGTTCTGCTTGCTAATATCGTGAAGTTTTGGAGTCAAAAACAAAATATCAGTTCCGAAATAACTTGATAATAATATAGATATTTTAGGTGAGGCAAATGCGATTCCTCCAGCAAACCCAAACACGTATAACTGTACGTTTCCAGCAATGATATCATCTTGGCGGGAAAACTTTCATCTTAATTCTGAAATGCAGACAGACGAGCAATTTCCATTTGGATTTGTGCAGGTTAGTTTTAAAACCTTTTCGTCTTTTCCCCGTTCCACATTTTCCTTAACCCACAATATAACGTAGAGAAATTCTATAGATGAATGATCAAGACGACGGTGGTTTAGCGATTTTCAAATATAGCAAATTGATAAGGAAGAGACGAATCAAAATAACAAAAAGAAACCGAGGGGACTGCACGAACTCCAAAAGGAGCTATATTGGGAGCGTCGACAGGGTAAGCGTCTCCTGCTTATTCATACTCAATGAAAATATCACATTCAGGAAGCGGACACAATCGGTTAAGTTACAGATCAGACTACTGCTGGTATCTAAAGATCAAAGACCGCGAAAACATATCGCTAGTGAGTTGAGACACCGACACATCGTATCGGTCAGACAATTCGTAATGGTGACCGTAAAATGTATGTAGTGTCGATTTTTAAGTCGTTTTTCCTCATACTTCGACCATCTACTTTTGGTAGTATCCCTTATTTCAAGTTTCACTTGGATATATGAGATGTAAGCTCTCATTGAAATGTGGGTTTTTGAGTGACAGAACTTCATCAATCTATCTGAAAGTGAAATTAAAGAAATTTTCAAGATGCTTTTAAAATCTGTTTAATGAGATGATGTAGTCAATCTTTCAATTGAGCATGGGGAATTATAGAAGTGTTATATTAAAATTTTGTCTTTGGCAACAGACCAAAACTTAAGTGAAAATTATTCAATTTTTACAATTCGAGTTAAAGTATTTTGAAGTTTAAATTTTTATTTTATTTCTAAAATTTCTCCTTATGTAAGTTACATTATTTTTGGAATGTTAATTTTTGATAAAGAAGAATGACATAAAACTTGAATATTTAGATTACGTAATTAAGACGGATAACAAAGAGACATGTAAGCGCTAAATTATTTACTTTGGATTATGTACCTTACATGTAAATTAAGGCTTTTGTTAAACAACCTTTTCCTATTACTCATGTGTGAAATTGTTAATAACACCTGTCACCCATGACTTGATTATTGGCCAACCAGTGAAAATAGGTTGTGGTCAAGGGAGCTTCACAAGGTAATTTTTGATTGGTGAAAACAGGAGAAAGTTAAGAAATCAGTGATCATGTGACCACGCCCGCATGGAAACAATTTATGTTTTCAACGGTCACTTTGATTACTGATTTCAAGAAATAAACATCTATATTTACTAGAACTTTCTCTTGTTTTACACCAGGCGCTAAAAGTCATCAGACGCAGCGGAAAAGTCAGTACGACAGAAGTGTAAAGCGTAGAAATATCAAAAGCAAAACTTTTGATTCTACTGCAACTTTGTACAAATTGTAATTGAACATTTTTGAGTAGATCTTTAGAATTTTTTAAAATCCACATCTGATTGACAATGATGGTCGAATATACCTTATCACAATGTTTCTACAGGCCATCTTTTATTGTAGAAAGAATGATGGCAAGAACTTTAAAAAGATGTTAAGTCAAACATCTTGACGACCGGCTATTAGATATCGTTCTTTGATAAAGATTTTCATGAAATTTTGGTATCCAGTATAAAGATGAGATTTTTTCATCGTCATTTTTTATTTTAATTCTAAAGAAGAATTTCAAAAATCTTGTCTTTCGTGAATGATGTAGGGTAAATGTGAGATTTCCAGTTCTGCTGTGAATTTTAAGTTCTATATATTAGGGACCTTCAACTGTTCAGAGTAGGCCTTATATATACTGAAGTATGATGTTATTGACGTATTATTAATAAATCAATCTAAAGTTAAACAAAACTATGTTTAATTACTGCTGCAGTTTTGAATTTTGGTACTACATTTTACCTTAAATGTAAGAAATTGGCCGTACAGATAAATATTTGAGCATCTCAAATTAGTGCGTTGTCTATAATTATGATAATACTTCATTTTCCTAAAAATATTCTCACAACCTTAGTTATTTAGCACATGTTAGGTAGTAATATGATAGTTTGCACAGTTATGATGACTTGACATAAAATTACTAAAAGTAGTTTCCATGAATTTTCCAAGAAAAAAACATCCGTACTGAATTCAAATCGGGAGATTAGTTGAAGACGAAACGTATATTTACCTATTTGTGTCTTTGGGTTTCTGTCTTATTTACGTATACCCTAATCTTTCCTTTTAATAACAGTAGCTACATATATCGTAACCATATGGGACAAGTGAGCGAACATCGAACCACATAAAAAGTTACCCAAAGCCATTTTAATTTACGTGGTTACTTCAATAATGGTCTTCTTTCTTCCTTCATATCTCTCTTCTCCATTCTCCCTTCTCCCTTTTCTATTTTTCTTTTCCCCACTACCGAGCTCCGTCGTTTGTGTACGTGCATTCGTTCCTGTTTCATGCAAGTCATATTTAATTTGATATTCATTAGGTTTGAATTAGTCATGTTTTGGTATGATGGATTGATGAAATAAAACATAGTCAAATTTAAAACTGAGGAAGTAGTTATTTGCATAAGACTTAAAAGAATTATAAGTACCAACGACAATATTTTTGAAATACTATAGTAATCCAAGATTAACTTCAGCACCTGTAATTACACAATAATTTGTGTATGACCGGTATACGATAGTAGGGGAGAAATGTGGTTTCAAGTTTTTGCATTTGTTCATTATTACTTCCGTCCGTTAGACCGTCCCGTATCAGGTAAAAGTTTTTAGTTAAGGTAGATGATAATCAAAAGGTAGTCACATCAACTTAATACGTGTTGTGAACTTTTGAAATTGTATGCTTAATAACCTTTTACTGAACATGAAAGTGTGAAAGAGGGATAATGTGATAGAGTGAAACCAACACATACTCATCTTTATTAAAATGTGAAATAACCAAATTTTAAAATGTTTTCCTGAAAAATTTCGGAAAACGTTTTATGATCAAAATTGGAGTAACGGCAAAATAAAATATATTAATTCTCAAACATTGACTCTGGTTCCTTTTGACCCGCTTTCCCCCCACTTATGTCTTGTTTTGTCGTAAGAAAATATTAACGTTTGATTAATGCAGATCTCTTTTAAAACGAGATTTCCAAGCGTCTTGCTGAAAATCGGCATACCAAATTTACTATAGACATTTCTGTGTCATTTGGTCTCTTGTGGAGAGTTGTCTCATTGGCAATCATACCACATCTACTTATTTTTATATGTACACAATATGCTTGAGAATCTTCTTGCACGTTTTACGAACATATTCAGCAAATCTCTACATGCATTTGTTTTAAAATTTAATTTCACTTTTTTGGATGACCTCTATTAATTTGGAAAACTTACGTTACAGCTTGGTCCATGGCGAAATGATTCAACAATATCAACGGGATTTCCTGACGTCAGATGGCATCAGACCGCAGACTATGGTTACGTTCCTAATGCTAAAATGAACAAAGTATTTATGGCCACAGCTATGGATCTCCCAGATTATAGTTCACCTTATGGCGGGTATATAAATGATAAACCATCTTAATAAAAGCGAGAGACTATTATGGGATTGTTAAATGTGAACGTTGATTGATGAAAAAACATCATAGTTTGAATAAGATTAATATCTAAACGAAACATTTTATAGTTATTTATCACCAATAAGAATAGACTTTGATTACTTTTTTAAGTTTAATGAATTCGTAACGGCAATTAGGAGGGAGTTATGTGCATAATTATAAGTAAGACACTTATGAACGACCACATCTTCAGAAGGTAGTAAAAAATATGTTTAAATCTCAATCGTAGATTGCTTAACAATGATCACCACTATCCAATGAAATATGTTCTTCCTTAAAAAGTTAAATATATGTGTTGGTAGTTTTCAAATGATGATGTAGAAAGCATTGTGGTAACACAACATATATTTTATTTTGGTGATTTGTAGTATTCATCCAAGAGACAAACAAGATGTTGCAGATCGTCTGCTTTTATCCGGTCTATCAGTAGCATATGGTAGAAATGCTGGGAAGTACCAAGGTCCATTTCCGACAAAATATTTTATGGACACAAACAGTAAAACTTACCTGATTACCTATGATGATGATAGTGCTGAAATAGATGTAAGATCTGCAGAAGGATTTGAGGTAAGATTTTCTGTTGTAATATGTTTACTGTGTATAAAGAAACAATTTAATCTGTAAGTGTTACCCGCGACCACTATTGCTACATACAATTAAAATTATATAGGTAGGCAGAGTTTATTTGAAACAGAAATGCAGTATATAGTGTACTGAATGAAACAAGTCAAGAAGCAAAAGAATGTAAATAAACTCATCATAGATACCAGGATTAAATTATGTAAATCTGCAGACCCTAATAAATATTGGAAGTGACTTTTTACACTACAGTTCACGGTCCTGCGTTCATTGTTGGATAATTAATCTCTGCTCGGGTCCAATCAAAGTCAATTTCAGGTTTCTTCTTATTTGGCCTAACCGAATACAATGATCTACTGCTCATTTAGAAGCAACCGGTGGAGACATTTATAAATTCAGTGTTATTGCTGCAGTGCCAAACATACTCAGACTGAACAACTCATTTTTATACACTGAAGCAATATACAATATTGTTTGTCTTCAATTCAAAGGGTAGATTTTCCCTTATAGCCTTTTTTGCGGGAGGGGGGGGGGGGGGGGTATTGTTACAGTTATCCTAGAACCATTACCGCGTTGAGACAGTATTTATGAAAAAAATTATCTGACATGAATAATAATAATAATAAAAAATCTGCATTACTTGTTTGCATCTGAACCAGTTTTAATATTTCCTCTTTGTCAGTGTGGCAAGTGGTGAACTATTTGTACATGTATGGATAATGTAATAATAATTAACATATGTTCAAAACATGCACAATGTCTTCAAAATCGGTATGTAAGCTAAAAAGCATATTTTGATTATATGAAAATTATTATTTTTGGTTTATCATCTATACGCATTTTATTGAACTTTACCTAGTTTCGTTATCTTGAAAATGACTCTTTGTGTTAAAACAATGCAGAAGAACAAAGTGCATACAAGGCAGTTTTTTTCTGTATTGTATTAACCCATGGAGTAATATTTAAATTTTATATGTTTGAATAAAAGTAAATCGCTTATTTAAAGTTTGATGCAATATTGTACTATGTATTTAGTCTTTGTTGTATGTACTTGCTCCAAGACAGGGATTGTCAATATGTTATATTTTCTTTTTTTTTCGAACTCGTTGTTTGGAGGATAAAGAGTTTATGACATTCAATTCATTTTTGTGTTAAACTTATTGACAACTTTACTGACCAGAGACGAGATAAAGCGCTGGAAATATTGTAATTGCACTTTTTTTGTAGGTATGTTGCTCTGAGGATAAGACATCTGATTGCAACACTGTCGATTCTACATGGATAGCAGCTCCAATTACAGACCATGATAAACAGACTGTATCGATATCTTATAAAGGTTGTGCTAGTCCTTACGTGGTGGCTATAAGATATGCATGGAGAGAATCACCATGTCCTTTTAAAAAATGTGCTGTATATAGCGTTGAAAACAATTTACCAGCACCTCCATTTATTCAGCTTATCGCACAACCCTCAGACACTTTGTTGTTTCATTATGGAAATGTCGTTATTCCAGAAGTGATTAAACATTAAGAAAAGACAAACAATATGCTTTAATACTTTGTACACTCATGTATGAATTATATGCCTGTATTTATTTTTTTCTTATTTTCAATCGTTTATAAAATTAAGAAGCTGTGCAACCTATTAAATTAAATCCTATATAACTAGGTAAACCAATATTTCATCCACGAATATCACCAAAGTTGAGAAAGCAAATGGGAATTCCGAAAATTTAATTTATGAAATATACATTGGGCTATTTAGTGCGTTTCGGCAGTTTGATTTTATAACCTTCTAAACGCCTGGCATTGCGGTCATAAAACTTTCGAGCACGATTATCGTGCTCAAACTCAGAAATCAACCAATCAAATTATTGGATTTGGTGTTTCGAGCACAAATTTTGTACTCCGAGTACTGAGTTATTAATAAGTTTTATGACCGAGGGGTCAGGTAAACCACCAATTCTCAACCAAATGGTTGTGCGATAAAAAAAAGTTAGCTGCCACTTCCTTTTGAGCTTTTCTGGTACAAAATATCAAAAATATAGATAGGGTAGGACGACTTTTCATCAATTTATTGTCAATCTGTAAACATTTTGTTAAAAAGGAGAATGTCATGCCATAGATAACTAAATGAGAGGTTGTCTCGTTCATTACTTGGACCAATATAATTTAAAATGACTTCGCAGGTAAGTGCGGCCAGCACAGTGAGTTTTTTGACAAAATGACGGTGTTTTCATCAATATTTTATGTATATATCAGTATATAAGTGTTTTTCTAAACCAATATAAACGTATAATAACAGTTTTTATGCCTCCGCCGTTAGGGGGCATTAAGTTTTACCCTTGTCCGTCCGTCTGTACGTCCGTACGTCCCGAAATTGGTTCCGTTCTCTAACTTTAGTTTGCTTCAACCAAATGTTATAAAACTTATACAAAATGCTTATTACCACAAAACACAGATCAAGTTTGAATTTTGTTGGCGTCACTTGTACTGTTTAAGAGTTATGCCACTTTACAAATGGAAAAATTGCTGAATTTTTCGTTTCCGTTCTCTAACTTAAGTTTGCCTCAACCAAATTTAATGAAACTTATACACAATGATTATTACCACAAAAAAACAGATGAAATTTGAATTTTGGTGTCGTCACTTTTACCGTTCTAGAGTTATGCCCCTTTACAAATGGAAAAATAGCTGAATTTTTCATTTCCGTTCTCTAACTTAAGTTTGCCTCAAATAAATGTTATGAAACTTATACACAATGGTTATTACCACAAAAAACAGATCAAGTTTGAATTTTGGTGGCGTCACTCTTACCGTTCTAGAGTTATGCTTCATTACAAATAGGAAAATTGCTGAATTTTTTAGCAATTTTTCATTTCAGTTCTTTTACTTTAGTTTAACTCACCCAAATGTTATGAATCTTGTACACAATGATTATTACAACAAAACACAGATCAGGTTTGAATTTTGGTGGATTCACTTTTTATCATTCTAGAGTTATGCCCCTTTACAAATGGAAAAATTGCTGAATTTTTCATTTCCGTTCTCTAACTTAAGTTTGCCTCAACCAAATGTTATGAAACTTATACACAGTGCTTATTACCACAAAACTCAGATCAAGTATGAATTTGGGTAGCGTCACTTTACTGTTCTTGAGTAATGTCCCTTTATAACTTCAATGCAAGCGGGTGCATCATCTGTGTCCCATGGACACATTCCCCATTTATTTTGTTCAATTTTTTACGAATATGATTTCATTAAGCTGAACATGTTGTAAAGTATGTCAGGTTGAGATTGTCTAGTATCGGTTGTGATATTCTTAAATAATGTTGAGATATTCTGTTGAATAAAAGTTTCAACTAGCTATGTATCAATGGGATACAACCGTCAAAATTCATGAACGTCTGCATAGTTGTTGTCAATTTAACTTGTTTTTGGTTTTGACAAAAGTTTTATATGGAGTCCTTTTGGTATAAAACATTACTAAAGAGTTGTGTTTTTAAAGTCTAGCTAACGAGATAGAAAGTCTAGCGCTGAAGATTTTAAAGTCAAGCGCTGTAGTTAAACGTTCATCGCAGTATATACAATGTCCAGCGCTGCAGATCTTAATTTTCAGAGCTGTAGATGCAAAGTTCTGCCTTGCGTCCTAACAAATAAGGCTTACTGTTGTGTCATGTATGTGCATATGTATGGAAACAATATCTTCCATAGATTTCATTTAAAATAGATAAAATGGTAAAATATAATCGCTTTCAGGTGTTATCAAGGAAACAATTTGCATTTATTTGGTATAAAATATTGCAAAAAGGGTGATGAAAATGTCACAAATGTCCCCAAAATATGGTCCAAAGAAGAATTTCAATCCATTTGAGTGATATTTTTTCTTAAACCATTGACATTTATCTATCTAGATGTCAAATACTGAAAACCATATGCATTTAACATTAAAAAACACACTTTTCTCAGTGGACCTAATGTCGGTACGGATGTGATACAAGAACTGTCAAACAGAAAATTATTGCCTATAAAAAAAACATGCGAAAATCAATGTTCATATAAAACCCCTTTGAAAGTTATATTGTTCTTCAGCTATTCAAAAATAAATTGTATTGCACACCTACTTTCTTATTTGACAAATTCACTAGGGCCAAATTGCGAAACCAAACTCGTAACTGTGTATTGCTACCTAATACCTACAGCGCCCGACTTTACATCTACAGCGCTAGACCTTACATCTTGAGTGCTAGACTTTAAGATCTCCAGCGCTTACTTAACATCTTCAGCTCAGCTCTTCACCGCTAGACTTTACATCTCGTTTTCTTGGCTTTAAAACCACTAGTATTTAGTATCTGCATTTATGGACCAGCAGAAACTCGATCATACAAAAACAAGAAACAAGATTTAATGACAACCACTATACAGAGAGTTCAATTTTGACGGTCGTATTCGATTGACAATTAGCTAGGTGGAAGTTTTATTTGACTGAAGATCTCAACATTGTTCCAGAATATCACAACCGATACCAGACAATCTCAACCCGACATACTTTATAACATATTCAGCTTAATGAAACTATATTCGTAAAAAATAGGAAAAAAAACTGTTTTTAAACGTTATAGTGACGATGAAGAACACTTATGTACCTGTACCAAGTCAGGAAAATGGCCATTGTTATATTATAGTTCGTTTCTGTGTGTGTTGCATTTTAGTGTTGTGCTTCTGTTGTGTCGTTGTTCTCCTCTTATATGTGATGTGTTTCCCTCAGTTTTAGTTTGTAACCCGGATTTGTTTTTTTCTCAATCGATTTATGAATTTCGAATAGCAGTATACTACTGTTGCCTTTATTTATATACTGATATATACGTTACGTATTGATGAACTCACCCGTCATTTTGTCAAAAACTCACTGAGCTGGACGCACTTACCTGCGGGAGAAAAGTCATTCGGATGTCATTTTAAATTATGAGTAATGAACGAGACGAGCTCTCATTTAGTTGTCAATGGCATGACATTCTCCTGTTTAACAAAATTTTAACGGATTGACAATTAATTGATGAAAAGGCGACCTACCCTATCTATATTTTTGATATTTTGTACCAGAAAAGCTCAACAGGAAGTGCCAGTAAAGTTTTTTTCTTGCTTCGCCATTTGGTTGAGTTTTGATGGTTTATCAGGCGTGTTCTATATGTTTAGACTATTGCAGGAACAATATACAAATTATTTTATTTCATTTCAAAAAAAAAATATCTACAGTGGCGCAAGGTATTATGCAGTGCCGGCAGGTATTATATAGTGGTGCAAGGTATTACAGTGTTACAAGGGAGAAAAGCATAAAAAGACTAGCCATATTCTTATTATTTTTAATCATATGTATATTTCTATACTTCATCGGGAGTATTTATTGACACGACACCAATACAAAACAACTACAAACACATTATTTTTATTGTAAATCCCACCTGTTGATTTTTAATTTCTCTATTTGTTGTTATATTGCAGATCAACAGTATTTAGTCATCTTTCCAGTTAAAGGAACAGAACCTTTGTCTAGCAATTGAGTTTACTTCAAGTTTTAAGTAGGTGTTTAATTTAAGTGGTGTTCTATGGGCTGTTGTACTCATGTGTTTTATATCTCTGGATAGGGTGCGGATCGTCTTTTTCGACTGATGATTTTTATTTTCGTATTTCCTTTTATGGAAGGTGCTTACCACATATTTCCATTATCGCTACTTGTTCGCCATTACTGGACATCACAAACGTAAAGGTTCATTGTTACACCAGAAAATATCGAAACGGTTGTTGTATGACGTCAGTTTTCAACATTGTTCAATGGTCAAAAGATAAACAAACGAAGATTATAAAAATCTGTCTGCACAACACTATACTAGAAGCTTAAGATATCCTATTTTATAACAAAAATAATAGTATTTTTACTTGGAAATAATCATGATATCGTGTAACTTAAAATATTATTTTCTATTTGCAACTATTATTGTACATTTGAGAGATTTACGCTCTTTTTTGTAATATCAAACAAAAGTGGGTCTTAATTCTCTTGGAAGATCAAAGTATATACGCGATGCTTCAAGTTTTCTTCGTGCAAAGTCCATATCGGCTTTTGTTACATTGTCATTGTGTGCTGTCCAAACCGTTAAAGTGTAACCTCGGGACTTCCCAAGTAACCATTCAAAAGAATCTAAAGAGTTAATCAGCTGCTCTGCTCTAACAGGAAATGTGATTGGCTGTTCTAAATCTTTCACAATATTATACATTTCCTGTACCATTTCCATTGTATAGTTTAAGTTGTAATTATCTCCCTTCCTTTTAGTTGTCCAACCAAGCGAAAGAACAACGTTCGGAAATTCCCGAATTGCCTCCAAAAACGCGTCTGCAGGAATGCGGGGATCTGTGCCATCCGGACCTTTAAGTATATCAGCATTTGCCCATACCGGACCTTTGATCCTGGGACTCTTCTTTGACACAATCTGTAATGTTGGCTTAACTGCGTCAATAGTTTTAAGATCGAGTTTCATGCCTTTATCGACCTGTAAAATATATTCAATATTCATTGCACGATATTGCTTTCCTGTGGTACATATTATATTTTTATATGTTTCAAAGTACTCCTTTATATTTTCTTTTATGGAAAACACGTATGAGTAATTATCGTTTTCATTTATTTCAGCATAACTCATTAGAGTTTCATATTCTGCAATATCGACGCAAAAATGATAAGTTACCTGACACACATATTCATAAAATGCAATCTGCTTTATTTATTCGTGCTGCAACATTCTGTTTTTAAGTCTTTCAACTATTTCATGGAAAGTCCTATATGATTTGTTCTGGTTATAATCATTTTTTCTTCCAACACTTTTATTTTTTATGTGCTTTTTTTTGTTTTTGTTTTTTTTTTTTGTTTCGCAACATATGGATTACATATTTGGTAAATGACATCGAACGGTTATTGTGCTTTATAATCTAACCGTGTTTTACCGAACACTTTTCTTTGTTCGAGATATCTCCCCTAACAAGATTTTTTCTTGTTATCACCACTCTTTCGCACTCGTAAAAGAAATCGAAAAATTAATTTTTCCAAATTGCTCGTAATATCCTCTGGTCAATTTTGACTGAAGCGATGCGGAGATTCAATATGAAAGTTACATAAATTTCCCATTCTGTATTTCACTCAAGTGATATGCAAATGTAAATCATGAACCGTTAATTATATAGACCTAGGGTATTTTGATTTGAGGTCCTTGGTCCACCGTAAAGAATCAGAGGTCAAAGTCATGTACTACATTCTGATTGTTTTCGCTATTCCTCAGAAACCGGAATAAGCCATGAGAAAAGATGTATCAAATTGTAAGTTTGGAAATGTTGTAACTAATAAAATTTGGTCGAAAGGGTAAAATGTCTTTAAAAAACGTTTTCTTCCTTGGAATTTTTTTTACGTTTTATGGTAATATAACTTAGTAAACATTCATACTAGAGACCTAGAGTATCGATTTCAGATCATTCCTTATGTCAAACGTGAATTTGGAGTTCTAGATTTTGACCTAATTTTGCTAGAACGTTACACTGGTAAATGATAGAGCCATTGGGCCGTTTGCATTAGGGTAGTAGTCGTATGACCTTAAAAAAAGATCAACCGGGCGTGTCCTTGTTTGAAGCAGAAGTAGCCTTTTTGAACTAAAGAAATATTAATATACATAGAAACAATTTAAAAAACAAATTTTTGAATCAGCGTGTAGAAACCTATCGGAAGTGACATTTTTGAAAATGGGCAGAAGCAAATAATATCTCTTATTTCAAACAAAATACATAGAAAAATATATAATCCGTGTAAAGTAAGCTTTCAGTTGATAGCGGAAGTTGTTAAATGTGACCGGAAGTCGCTCACCATCTCCCTTAACTAATTGAAAAAGTGCAACAACGGAGTCGGTGTAGAAAAAGTAGTAATTTTGACAACGGTAGTGACTTTAAAAATAAAATACTATTTTGCAACCTCATTTTCTTATCAAAATATGTGAATTTGACGCGGAAATATCTGCAATTGTTCTGTTAACAATAGTAATTTAATAATAACTGTTTATTCTTGTTACAATTCATCGTATTTCCTGTTTATTTATTATACCATTTAGACAGTGATGGGAGTATGTCCATGTGTTCGTTCGTTTGTTTGTTCGTTCGTCCTTTTGTCTCACTTTGGCATCCGCAGCTGCTCCTGTGCCGCTTGACAGGGGAGGTTTGTGCATTTTTAACCAAACCTTACTGACATGATCTAGGCCTACTTTTGCACCTCCTTCTTTTCATTTCCATATATGAATACGTTTTAGGGTTTACGTTGGGATAACATTGGATTCGTCATATATGCACACTATAGTACACTTTTTTTTGGGAGGGGGGGGGGGGGGGGAGGTCTCATAACAAATATAGGAGCGGAGGTATCATTTTGTGAGTTTTGCTCGTAGTACTTCTTGTTGAGTAGATATATTCATCTAAATCGGAGTAACATTGAAATCTTGAATTCCTCTTCGACTTGAAATGAAATAGATCTAGATAACTCATTATCTGAAAAAGTCAGTCTTTTTGAATATGTAGACGGTACAGACAAGTTAATCCCGTCTTCGCTAGCCAGGGGTTACAGTCCGACCCGTTACTCTTTAACCTTAGCAGATTAATTGAGAATTTGGGATCCACGATTTAAGAATTTCTATTGGTCGCAGTTGTAAGTAGCTGCATCCAATCAAAAATCGCCATTAATGATCACGTGTAAATGTAGGAACTGTAAATTGGCTATTGTGCAACCCGTCTTTACCCCCAAAACGTAGGACGATATTTAGTAACACTTTGAAATTTCTTTATCAACTTATTAAAGTTCTTGTGTAGTTCCTCGTGCAAATGTTGGAATATCAAATTATGTATGCGGTTTCTACGTCACGAAATGTGTAAACATTAGACACAGCCATGTTTACACCTCCGAATTATAGAGTACAAGTCCTGTCATTAGTCAATTGTGATGTAACCGGAGTGGGCGTGACTTCTATCTGCCACCAGATGGCACTGTGCTGTATACTAAAATTTTGTCTTTAGAGTGTCCTTGCCGAGGATGAAGGTGCGGACCGCATCGTAACCCTTAGCTAGAGATGAGTTAACTCCTATCTTATTACATCTCTCATAAAAGAATACAAATGACATGTGCATTAAAAATCAACCAAGAACAAGCACTTTATTCCAAACCATCTGGACTACAGAATATAATAATAACTACACTATGATAACAGGTAGTGCTCGTTGTAGCTGAAAGCAAGCTCAAAGTATTTTATCTGAGTGTGTATTCAAGATATGATTTTTTCCCGTAAGTAGTATATCAGCCGAGTAAAACATTCAAATGAAAATTTTGAAACTTGTTTGCTTTGAGCACGACATAACTATAACAAAAAACAAATGTAAAAATGAGGTTTAGAGAACAACTTTTTTTACAGTGACTTGTAAATGTTCAACTAGTTGTTTACATGTTAGTATCATTTTGTTTGTTTTTAGCATCTTTATTTCACTGTCACAAAACTTTTTGTACTGTTTACTAACAGCAAAACATTGAATATAATTGAACTCAATTGAAAAAATCTCACGCAACCGGTAATATTGTGTTTTTCCATCTTCGACGTCGAGTTAAGGAAAAGAATCGTGCATTTTTCAAATGTGCTTCGTTGTAATTCAAATAGAATTTAGGTGTCCGGTAATTGCTTCTATGGCAATATCAATTTTGAGGCATTGTGACACGAAGGCAAAATTTCACTGTAACATTATGAAACATAACTTCTTCGAATAGTGCACCATAATAATTGAGTAGCTATGACATCTTTTAGGTCTCGTAGCTAGAAAATCAATTTGAATGAAAGAAACTGAATGACCAGAATACCTTGATAATTTCGTCGATCCATTGTTCGAATGTAATATTGTTGTAATCCCCGACATCATGAGCCATTATAGGAATGTTCGTTTTGTTAGATGTATCTTGTCCAAGTAACATGATGTCACCTTCTATCATCATAACATTACCTACAACAGTTTATCCAAGTTTTTATTTGTTAATAAAGAGTATGGAGATAACAAGTAGTCTTAGGCCACACCAATTTGATTAATAGTTCTTTGGATTTTCCAGCTCCTGTTTTGGAGAAATTGACTTTTCAAAAAAAAATATAACCGCTTACGCAAATTTTTGGTCCGCATGCCGCTCCAAAATTAGTTTCTCCTTGATTTTTTTTTTACATAGACGCTTTTCTGTTGCATATAATGCTCTATCGTTTTAAACACACGTGTGATAAATCAATTTGTAAAAAAAAGGTCAAAAATCGGGATGCCAAGATGCAGTTGTTTCAGCTCATTGCCGTTAGTAGTCATGGAACACACAGTTATCCGAAATGCTTCTCGTTTTACCTTTAAAGCCCTGTTCTAGGATGCAAAAATTGAAAATCTTTCGTTAGATGACCAAAAACACATCAAAAATTGATAGAACCCTCGTCACCCCCGATCCTTGTTTCAACAGGCATAGACCTATCTTTCTTTTGGATGAAATGAATTTTAAATTTCCATGAACTTTTTAAAAAATCACAGAAGTATTTGATGTTGATGAAACCCCATATCCCCTTATTAGTCTTTTGGCATGCAAGCAGAACTCTTCCTTTGTGGGGGGAATTTAAGGGAGCTACCATTTGATTTTTATGGGGGGGGGGGCGGTGGGATAGAATGAAAAATTTTGTCCTGCATTTTTTAAATTTTTTAGTTGTAATCTCTGTCCTGCCTTTTTATTTTTCACTCTATTCGGTCCTGCCTTTTTTTATTAGTTTATCCTGACTTTTTTACATATATTGTCATCCTGCCTTTTTTTTGGCCAAGTTGCTCATCCTGCCTAATTTTTTTACTCAGAACTCCTGTCCTGCCTTACAAATTTCATCCTAGCCTATCAAATGGTAGCTCCCTAAAGAGTTCCAACGAGACCAAAGTGGTGCCTTATTGGGATTGGCATGTTCATAATAATTAGGGGTGTGTAATTGGTCAAGCTTAAGAGTTTTAAATGCATTACAGATTTTAGGAGCAAAAGGAAAGAGTATTTAAATCATAAGTTTTCCTATAAAAAAGACCCACCAATAACGGATTATTGACAGTTTGTTGTTTCTTTGACAATCGCCCCTGCAAGTAAATGAGACTCGGTCCACATAGTATTGATTCAGTGAATAAACAATGTTACTAAAATCGCTATTGCATTCATTCCAGTTTCAATCAGAGGTTGAGAGACTGTCCCCTTCACCTCAGTTACTTCTTTGGACATTTTGGATTTCCCTTTTTCTCCTTCTTTTGTTTGTTTAATGCAAACTATAATAAACTGAATACTCAATCAGTTTCAACTTTACCTTGTGTGGCAGTATTTAATAAATGCCATGTATCTGTGTTATGGCTCCAAAGTATACCACTTGCGTCACGTGGAGCAATATTAAAATATAGTAGAGGACTTCCGGCAGTTGATGAAACATCTACAAAATCTTGAAACATGGCTTCATCAATGTTGTATAACAATTTGTCTTTGTCTGCATCGTTCCTCAACAAAAGTAAATCAAATGATGTGACGTTGAATCTCAATGAATTTGAAGAAATTATGAGTTTCACACTTGGGTTGGTATCTAAAATCCATTTTATACCCTTCCATGATGATTGTACAGTGTCAACTTCCATTTCTACCGTAACCTTCGTTACAGGAAAAGCAAGGTTTTTTATCAGGTCACTAATGTATTCGGAAGTACCGTATTCTATCCCATACAGATCACAAAATGTTTTTGAAATAAAAAGATTTATTCCAATGTAATTGTCCATTACTTGTAAAGCAGACAAATCTTTCTTAAACCTGAAATGGCAAGTTTTTTTCAAATTTATTACGCAGATATATATATATGTTCCGCGCCATCCAAAAATGAATTAAGTCATGATTATTGTAAGTGATGTTTAGTTAGGACTGTTAACATGGAAAATAAATGGATCTGATTGGCTGAATATTTTTTTAAAGATTAAGAAAAAAATCACATTGAAATTGATTGATAACACAAATGTTTCTTTAACGAATGTAAGTATAAATAAACATTCAACCTTACAAATGAATATGATGTTATAATGGTTCTTCATACAATTGTGATTTTGGTGTAGATCTGAAATCCAAAATGTTTCCTGTCTCGACACAAAATTCTGAATCAAATCATAAAATTATGCGACTTAATTTCATGCAACACATTGTCTGTATCAGACCTGTTTAACCCCCAAACTATACGGCAGTTGATATCGTAAGTTGCTGTCTATCATATATGTTTTTCGTTTATTGTTTTGTACATAAATCGAGCCGTTGGAGTTCAAGTTTGAATTGTTTTACATTTAGACATATTAGGGCCTTTTATACCTTACTTAACGATATGGGTTTGCTCATTGTTACAGGCCGTATGGTGGCATATAGTTGCTTGTATCTACGTCATTTTGTCTCTGGTGAAAACTATGTTTGTCGCGGTCCCACATGTTTACGCCATGAAACATATTTAAGCATTGATCCATTGAAAACCATACAAACAGCCTCTTCGAAATGCATGAAAAAAATAAAAAAACTATGTACATACATGAATCAAATATAGGCCGAAACGCAGAACATAGTTTGATATTTAAACATACTTCGAGTGCATTAAAAAAACCTAAAAAAACTCATCAGAGGAAACCAGGATTATAATTTTGTACGCCAGACGCGCGTTTCATCTGCGAACGACTCATCAGTGACGTTCAAATCAAAAAAGTTAAAAGATCAAATATTGTACGAAGCTGAAAAGCATTGATGCTCAAAATTCAGAAAGGTTTTGCCAAAACACGCCAATTCATTGTGACACGATGAAATTGTTCAACATACGTCTTATTTCCTGTTGATGTGTATCTGATGAAGTTAATTCGGCGCCATAAGATACCACTGTAGTTTCCACATAAAGTATTTATTTGCCTCGTTTTGAAAACCAATATCAAGAAATAAGTTAATGAAATTAATAGCGTTATTTCATTAAGTACAATGTCAATGTATAGCAACTTTCAAGTTTTTGTTTTCTTACAACCTTCAATTGCTCACGATATGTGCGTTTATATTTTTTTAGGTTTTCTGCAAAGCTGAAAAAGCAGTACCCCTTGATATCCATTTTCCAACCTATATTCTTTTGTTTATATATAAATCAAATTGAAAATATACCTTATCTCTATATGCATGTTATGTTTGTATATGTCAATAAATAATATCATAACTTCCCCATGTTCCCAAAAACAATCTTTACCTGTCCAAGTCAAAACTGGTACTTGGAGACAAGATTGGAATGGAAATCAAGACTGGTTTGTCTAAGAGTACTTTTCTTAAAGTACTTAGAACCGCTTCAGCTTCAATATTATTCTTCACATTTATCTTAATGCCAATACCAGCAGCGCTCAACAGTTTAATTGTGTCAAGGAGTTTAATACCATCAGTCCCTCCAATAACAAGATCATTTCCGCTTGCAGTTTGTATAATTACTTCTATCATGTTGTATTTGCCTAAAATATTTTCATTTTCGCTTTCATGATACTGAAATTATTAATACATCATTGTAAATTTAGTTAAAAAACTGTCCACCCTTTAATATCTCCTATTGGTTATGATAAGCCTGGGAGCCTTAAATAATCATGTAAATAATACAAAAAATCTTCCTTACACGTGAACTAAGTATGGCCCTTGTTTTGTAATGTGCAATGTAATCAACACACCAAGACTACAGATTGGGTAGAATTATTATTTACACGATTGATTATCATATAATTGCCTTTAGAATGATTGTGCGTGTGAATTTCTTTTCACTGTTATGCAACCTATAGTCAAAGATTCTGCATTAATATGAACTTAAAAATCTACATTGAAAACTGCAGGGAGTCAGTTTATACAAATCCGGAAAAATAGAGAGAGAAATCAAAGAAGACTCTCAAATTCTTCCAATTAGGCACACATGCTTGGCTTTTTTTTACTGTATTAATATATTGTTAACGTTTTGTTTTACTCCTCGTTTAAGGTTATTATTTTTTCACTGAGTGTTGTCTGTGTCACTATCTCTATTTTCTCTGAATATGCATGAGTTATTAGCCACTGGACGTAAAGTAAACAATAACCTTTGTTTTTTTTTAATACTTTTACTTGTATATCATATATAATATCAGATACTTTCTGCAATGATATTTAACAAAAGGTGTAATACAATAGTACTGAAAATCTTCTAAAGTCAAGGTATTGGATTATACTTATCTTTATTCATGATTTTTTATTATGAATGGGCTCTTAAATGATTGGCTGATTTTAATCAAATGTATAGCATACACTCAACTTACTCATGTTACTGTTTTCCTTACCTATCGATATGGCAGTATCAATTTGAGTCCGACTGTTTACATTCGGAAGCCATCGGATGTTTATCCCATCGTCTTTCTTAAAATTGTCAAGAATATAGTACCTGTTTTGGACAGAAACTATTGGTGCATGTACATCATTGCCTTTATTATCTATTCAATAGAAAGAATACGAAAGTATATATCTTGGTTATATGTAAATGTTCTTTGGCAAAGGAGAAGGTTCACTAAGGGTTAAAATTAGCCCTAAGAGTTTGATCATGGGTTTTTCAATCAGACCGAAGTACTATAAACTTTACGTAGAAATAATTGTTATACAATTTGTAGTACAAAATAACTTCACTCTACAAAATACGAAATATGACCTCTGAATTATAAATAATTCACGTTGTAACATCAGTTTTGGTCCAATTTTTCGTAAGTTATGACAGTTTTTCACAAAGATAACTTAGGCAACAATTCCTAATCCAGAAAATTGGTTTGATTAGGGATTCTGTACAAACATCGGCACCTTTTAGTAACTGAACTTTTTGGATCGTTGGTGGCGCTCAATGGTTTTTTAAGCTTTTATGTGTACAAAATATCATGTTTTGACAACATATAAAAAATCTGCCGACTTTGGAGCATACAATGTAATTTTATGAAGAGATATGTGTTACTTAGCATTAAAGCACGAATTGAGAAACAGTTACCTCAATGGTCAACCAATACGTGACGAACGTAAAACTAGAGTTTTGTCGATTCAGTCATTCGATAACCGTACAAGTTTGCAAGAATGAGGCCGTCGTTGTATAGGAATAACCACCAAAAATAACGATAGCGAGCAAAGTGTTTGTAACTTGGGTTAATTAAAATGTGGAATGGATGGACATAAGACCAAAAAATGAAGATATATACACATGATGTCAAAGCAATCAATCGATAATATTATATAACCTTGAAATAGGCATATCTTCTGTTAAAGAATATCTTCGCAAACAGACAATCAAGAACGCATTAACTGAAATATATAAATATGCAACATGATACATGTAACGTATAAAATGTTCACTTATCTTGTGATACATTTTTACATACACAATGTTTATGTTGACACGCTTAAAAATGTAAAAATATTTACCGCATTCTCGTTTCCTGACAGCTAGTACAATAACAGCAATAAATAATGCCAAAATCACCAAGGTAACTGTAATTAGAAATACTCTCTTCGTGCTGCTTTTAGTGGACATGTTGAAAGTGAATACAATGAAAACGCACTACGTGTACAAATCGTTCATCGTATAATTACGTGGATTCCTTCTTCAGTAATCGTTGAAACCCTTAAAACTGACAACGGATGATCTTTCCTCGTACAGGTAAATTGTAAAGATACTGTCAACAAATTAAGGACAAAATCAAGAGAATGTAAACCATTAACAATGATAAAGAAAGTAGATTGATTTCTAAATAGATAGCGACAATTGACTGAATTAGGTCATTATAATACATGGTACATTTCCTCCTACTAATAAAAAAAAAGAGGCGGAAGATATCAAAGCTCATATAAGAAATAACCATTGAAGACGTTTTTTTCTAAGGGAACTACCTAACTAGCTTTTTAGGCAAAAAGTCCATCAAATCGACTTTCGTCAAGTACAGGATAAAGAGAATCATTTGTTTGTTATTACTGTGGTTTTTTTACATCCAAGTCGTTTACAACTGTACACAATTCAAATCATTCTATTTAAAATATATATAAATGTATACACTTTTGTTTGTTGTTATGTTGGATTAAAGATTAATGTTCTTTTGCTGTGAGTGTTTGGATTAATGAGGCATTGGTAATTGTTATCTAATTATCCACGTTGAATTGAAGATTGTAATACTACGTTGTCATCAAGATGTTTATTTAAGTTTTGCTTTATTGTTTGGCTGCTGTCTCGGACGTTCGTCCCGCGATTTATTATTTTTTAAACTTTTTATCTTCCTTTATTTTTTTATTTTTCGATATTTTTTCCATTCATATAATCATTGATATTATTATTTATGCAGAACCTATTTTGAATATACAAGATGGACCTATTTATTCAGCGTCACAGCCCAAAATATAATTATGCTTTGGATTCAGATTCTATATACATGATATATGCCTGTCCCAATTTTGGAATATTACAGTTGATTTCCATTCGTTTTGTTAGATGATATAGTCTAACGTTAGATTTGGTCAGGTTTAATGACTTCCCTCTTTTTAAATTTATCTTGGAGTTCAGTATCTTTTTTGATACTTTTATACATGTAATTGGTCAAATTAGCTGATCTGTGTACGCATTTTACCTTGAACTTTTAGATATAAGTTAAGCCGTCTAAGGCACATACCTCGTATCCTTTCTTTTTAATAGTGAAGTTTCAGTCTTATTTACTCGAATAATGACAATAGGGTAATAATTACGCAATATCAAATCACTGGATCGATTTTTGTTTTTTGCTTAAAATCTAGTGGCAATATTCCATGCAAATGCAGGACGACAAAGACACTTGGGGTAGGGTTAATATCAATTTCAAAATGTTTTAGAAAGACTTATAACTACAGGAATGAAACGAACGTTTAAGACTAACTTCCCAATTTTTTTTATTTTATTTTTTTTTGATAAACGTGAGACTTTAGATTTCACACATAGACAATCATTGATTGTATGTTCATTGTCAATGTCTTTCCGACCGTGCGGGACCCTCATTGGTAGTCAATGTCTTTCATTGTTGAAAGATAAAAATGACTGCTTTTAACAATAGTTTGTTTTTCTATTTCAGTATGGTTTCAGCTGTTTTTGTCTCACGAATGTTTAAATCATAACTATTTTGATTAGTATTATTATGTAAAAGCAGATATGACAGTGACTTGACGTTGGGGAACAACAATCAGAAGCTTTGTAGGCCCATTACCTACTTACTTCAGCAGATATGAGATTAACATTTATCGCATTTTTGGTCCCGTGTACATTGATGTTTGCGCTGCTAGGTTATGAGGTGGCTGTGTTGTTCAGGAACGTGAGATATACGTGGCGTTGATAACGTCCAATGTTAATTTTAAGTGAGCTAGTGTATGAAATGGTGTATGTGATAATATTGGTTTAAACTATAAACACACAAATAAACGTTTCTCAGATGTCGAACTCTTCCTTTTTACAAAGGCAACTGCCGAAATTGTACACCTGCAATATGTCAGCAATGGTGAAGAAAGAAGTAGATCTCCTGATGACTATAAGTCATGGACGCATTTTATGTATTAAATTATAAATAATGCATATAAATGATTTGTTTTTCTAGCGTTTTCACAATTAAAAGACACATATAGCACATGAATGTGGTCATATTTAAACTCATCATAGTTACCAGGATTAAAATTTTGTACACCAGTCGCGCGTTTCGTCTGCAAAAGTCGCATCAGTGACGCTCGAATCAAAAACGTTAAAAAGGCCGAAGTTGAAGAGCATTGAGGACCCAAAATTCCGAAAGGTTTTGTCAAATACAACCAAGGTAATCTATTCCTGATAAAATAGATAAAGACGAATTCATTCAATAATAAAACTATAAGGCATGCCTTGCTGGATTGCTAAGCAAATAAGAGAGGAGGAAAACTGCGATGTCACAGAATTTTACATTAACATTTTCTACAGATCATTTTTACTATAAGTACGCTTAAATATACATGAATAATTAATGAAAACTGCAAGATTTACTTTTTTCTGCATGAACATTTTCAAGGTACATTCATCTAAGAGTTTTGTAAGACTAGTGTTGCTTAAAAAATAATATTTTATGTTTTGTTATTTTAGATGAAAAATAAAGGCAACAGTAGTATACAGCTGTTTAATAGTCATAAATCGATTGAGCCGGGTCACAAACCAAAACCGAGGGAAACACATCAACTATAAGAAGAAAACAACGGAACAACAGAAACACTGAACTGCTACAAAAACAAACATACATAGAAACGGACTATTTGAAAACAACTTCCAGAGAATGAATTAAATGACATACTTGACGACGTGGCAGATGTTTTTTACGTTATATTTGGGAACGATTTATTTAATGAACAGTACAACAATGTGCCACTTAAAGCCACGTGTCTCGCTTGGTAGTGCCCAATTAATGTCAATTGGTTTCAGTCTTATGAAAAACACACTTGAACATTTTTGGGATAAAAGATGGTAATCCGTACAAGCTTGAGCATAATGATGTATTCTTGTGTAGTTTTAAGTTACACTGATGATGTGAGACGTATTTTATTTGAGATACCAATATGAACACTACATTTGTTTTTGTTGTCATGTATTTTCTGTTAATCATAACTTACAGGCAACAGTAGTTTACCGATATTCAAATTGCATAAATCCATTCAAAAGATACAAACCCAGATAAAAAAAAATCTCTTCTACTGACTCACTGATTGTCAATCATTACTTGACGAACAATTATCCTCTTTCTTACAAACGTTTATCCATGTACAATTGAGTCTCTTAGTGAACATTAATGCTGGAACATCGGAATAAGTTGGTTTTTTTTTTTTGCCTAGAGAAATTAAATATTTTTCAACTAACAAATTCTCGTTAAAAAAGGAATAAAATTGAACCCTTAGCGATTGTTCTATCTCGCTCATCTTTCAATAAACGGATTAAAAATACAATAAAAATAACTATGTAAAATCTGAACATCAATAACTCTTCTGAAACTATTCAACCGTGTGGTCAAAATCAAAGTATCACTTACTATGCACATGTTACCTATATTACACCAAACAACTCATTGTTCTGCTTATATCAGCTTACAGCAATGGTGTTTCTTTTAAATTGTCGGTTAGATCGTGTCGTCGCATACTTTCGCTGGAACATGTATGGTGATCTTCCATTCTTAAACATCAATGAGTATACTTCAAATGAATTGAGCATAAAAACACCAAAAGCAGACAGAAAAAAACTCGACCTTGTGTAACGCCAAAATATAAGTTTCAACAAAATATACGTCCATAAGCCTTAAATCCTGAATAGGAATAGATGTATGAATTTATTAAAAATAAAATCAATGTAAGTGTTGATTCAAACAATATCCAAAGATCTTTCTACAATGTTAAATTGACTAGCTTCCCAACATATTCAAAGGAACAATACGTTTATGTGGTTGGTATCTTTAAATGATATTCTAATTTATGACGAGAAATACACACACTACTAAACATAACACTTTGGTTTTCTGAAAATCGTAATAAGCATACTCTAGCACAAGTAAATTTTGGCTCAAAATGGTCAAAATATATTTCTTGTTCAGCAAAAGTGTCATGCATGCATGTAAATTCACTCGATAGATTAAGTAAACTATAACATCGAAAGCACTATTTTTGTCAGAGTAGGGCTATTTTTACCAATGTTCGGAACATGACTGGTCAAATTAGAGGCATAACACGTTATTGATGCTTTAAAAGTATGGTAATTGCATGGACGTCATCGTCGATTTGAACTGTGATTGGGCGAAAAAGATAATTATTGAAGATTTTAAATACGTCAGTATTTGAATACCTCAGTTTTGTAATTACAACATGACGGTTGACACATGTGGACCAGGATCTGCTTACCATTTCGGAGCATGTGAGATCTCCCCCGGGTTTTGATTGGGTTCATGTTGCTCAATCGTTGGTTTTGCAATGTTGAGTTTTGTATTTTGTTGTTTGCTTTTAACCGATTTAAGTGTTATGCTATGACATTGTCTATGCTTTCGACTGATGAGTATGAATGTTCCTTTGGTATCCATCACCTTTCTTCCTGGTAAAGAGGCGAAAAGTGAAAATTGCAAATATATATATATATCTTAGAGTAAATATTATTAATACCTTAAAACGTTGAAGAAAACATTTAGAAAAGTTTTTTTGATAAAATAGTAAAATGGTAAATTTTAATCGTCAATTCCAACTATTCTGAACGAATGAAATAATAATTTTGAACGCACCCATAAGGGTTGTTTTGCATTTTGTTTAATATAAATACGACTGTGCTGTTAAAATATTGTAACTGTATTATTTCTTTAGTTTTTAGGTTCGTCATATCTTAAAGGTCAGCTTTTTGGCAATTTCATTTCAAAAAAAGATCACAAAATTGAAGGTTTTAAATATATACTCCAATGTGAATGCGTCGTACATATTTTCTAAAAACAATAATTCGTGAATGTAATATAGACTTTACCAAAACAGCATCAAATGAATTACAAACACCATCAAATATAATGCCAGTGACAAGCGTATAAGCATAAAGCGCCGATAAAAAGTAAAATAACAAAAATACCAATGGAAATTTAAAACGGAAAGTCTTTTATAAAATAACAAAATCAAAAGCTCAAACACATCTAACGAATGGAAAACAACTGTCATAATGTTATTCAATTTTATCGACTATTCAGATGAA